TCTTGAAGGACCAGCGAAAACTGTTGGGGATGGAAACAACAGTTTGGAGATTTGAAGGCGTTTATTCTTTCTTCTTATTTGCAGTACAAAGTACGAAAACGTTCGTAGGCATGCTTTCATACAAATCGGGTTTACTTAAGTGGGATTTGTTCGTTCGCACTTAGCTACTATCCTAACGCGTTAATTGACCTAATAGATTCATGTTATGTCGGTGCCCCTTCCACTATGCGGCGGGGAGGTCGCGGGGGGGTGCTCCCGTCGCTGCTGCCCGTGGTGTGCCCCCTCCACTCGTTGCGGGGGTGAGGTTGCGGGGAAGGGTCTTCATGTCCGCCGTCCGTAACAATCTAGATTTAAAAAATACTAAGTACATTTTGGGAAGTTGTTAAATCACTTTATGAATACAGAAAGTGTTCACATAATTAACATTCTTTCACTCACATCTTAAGGTAAGTAATATTACTAGATACTACTTCTAATATTATTAATGCGAATAACTCAAATCTATAATATAATTAATATTTTACATTTAATATAATTTGGATGGATAGGTACTTCAGTTTAAATTAAACCGAAAAGTTCATTGAATACCTATAGTTTGATTCGATAAGTTCTTAATTTCACATGTTTGAGTTGAGTCGTCTTACACTTCGCATATTGTTTGTGTTGAAACGTCTTTCTTTGTTTGAGTTGAATAGTCTTGGCAGTCTAATATCTAGAATCATGTTGATGGATCAAGTTCTTTTGGTTCTTCTTTGACTAATACTAGTAACTTCAAACGTGGACATATTTTGTTTCAAAAAGATACGCGCTGATATAATTTTCTACTTTTAGATACCTAAGACAGCTAGCTATACTGCTTATCTACAAATAAACGTAAAATAATGGTAGTTATTATAAACAGTGTGTCGAAACTACAGAGGATATCGTAAAACAACACAAAAAGTAAATTATTATCGGTACTTAATCCTAAATTTATAAAAATATATACAGGGTGTAAAGTACAGCTTTCCTTTAACTATAGCCATCGTCTCAGACCCGTATCTATAGTCGAGTATAAGTAATTACTTAAGAAATTATTTATAACAAATAAACAAGAATTTGAATGAAGTAAGAACTGTTAATAGTAAGAATCCAATTAATATTAAGTATTAATAGTTATTATTAAAATTCTCGTCTATTGGTTAAAAATATCTGCTTAAGTTATACCATTTTCTCAAGTTATTACTTCTCTCAACTATATATAAAGTAATTATATACAGAAATAAAAATAAAAAATCAACTCTTCATACGAAATTTACCACTGGCGCGGACGTTTGTATGAAAAGTCACAAATATCACTAATAATAATACAGGAAGTAGTTATATATAGTTTCTTTGGGGAAGTTGCTCAGAATTATGGTCTGAGTTCATGGTTAAAGTTAAAGACTCTGACACCCTGTATTTAATAAAAAAAAATATTACGAAAAATTTTCACGACTTTTATCTTAGAATTTACTTACGGCTGTTTTCTGAATTGATATAACTTCAGTTTTTTACTTTTCACAAATCTATCATCTATTTTATCAAACTGCTATCAACTGACTTAAAAAAGCTAAGATTAGGAACGAAAACCTATTTCAGTAACGTTTAAGTACAGTTTGAGACGTGCTTTAAACATTCAATTCAGAAACCAAGTGTTAAGTGTTCAGCGTTACATTTCAAAATTATATCACAACTAAACATTAATTTAGATATTTACTGACGCTAAAAATACTTGGCAATATGGATAAACCTTAGTGGTTATAGTGCCACCTAGCCCATAACATTGTAAATTGTTATTATTGTTCATTTATCATTTAATTCGTTAAAAATCGTAGGCACTTATTTTTCTTGTTCGTTATGCAATGAAAAGAAACGTTTATCATTATTCAGTTATTGATTATTACCACAGCCATAAACACAACAATAAAGCCCATCGGGCATAAAGATATTTTACAATATAGTAAAGTATAATATGAATATAGTCAATTGTGGCGCATAACGCGGACGCCTCGCCCTTGGTCGAGGCAGACGATGACGGCCCGTTCCACGCCCCGCCTCTCAAGGTTTCCGTGTAGACCCAGCAGATATTGGGATCTGAGTGTGGAGCAGTCCCTGCTGGATTTTGAATAAAATACTGGATTTGTTTAGGTTCCATCTTCCTCGGGATGTTGATCAAAATCCTGTCTTTATCATTACTTACTATAATTTTGTTACATATTCTTTGTTACTGCACTATCGACCGAGGTGGTCGTCCTATTGTACATACCGCCTAGTGAAAATGTCCGCCTTTTGTACCGTACTTTAATTAATCAAAGAAATTGAATAAAAAATAATGGAATAATGACGCATTACCGTGTACAGTATCAGTAGACAAACCCACCAACCTCCCATGGCCTGACGCAACCAATGGTTAGTAGGGAGCGGTCTGACTGACAAATCGTTTGCACTCCGCATTAGGCTTGAAGTGTCATTTAGATTTTTAACATGAACACTCATGGCCATCAGCATTATATCTGCATCATGCAAACTTAGTTTATCTTCACAAATTACCCATCATTAGCAAATTACAACATGAATTGTTGCACAGTGCAGGCAACGCATAATACTACAATACTTTTTCACAGTATAACGGACCTTGCACACGAAACAGATAAGATCACTCTCGAAGTAGGTTCTGCAGACCACTTAAGAATTTCCTGTCATGGCTAAAGACTATAAGGAGGATTGCATTAACTGATTTTAACTTAGCTAAAAGTAAAAGATAATCTGGTTGGACAAAGGTTAACGCTTTCGTTCTGCAATCGTGGTGGTGGCTGGATATAAAGACGGTATATCTTTGACGTTGCATTTTTTTTTAAACAAACCATTTATTATGTATTCATCAATTTTCCCTTTAGTAAATTCGAACATGGAATGGCGACCAAAAATTTATTATCGCGAGCTTCTAGCCGTTTCGAAAAGCACAAAATGTTAGCTCCGGTTGGTACCGGCCCTACAATTAAATATTACCTACTACTAGCTGTTGTACCGTGACTTCGCCCGCATAAATTTTGTAACTCAAATTAAATGTCATAGATAACGTATTTCACCCAAGAAATTATAGCCTATATCACCCTCGATGATGTAGCTTCTCGTAATTAAAAAAGAATTTTCAAAAGTACTTTCGCAGTCTATTTATTGCAAACAATCAACTATTTCACTTTCTGTAACATTTGTATTGATAAAATCAATATGTAAGTATAAAATGGAAATGTCGTAATTGCAACAACTTTGAGCAAAGTCGGTTCTTCCAAGACGTCAAGTGTCAGATGACTTGGTAATTTTTTGTCCAAATGACTACCTACACAGTTAGACAAAAACATTGGGATAGCAAATCATGATATACAATTCATATCGTAATAGTGAAGCTACTACAACTAAGACGTTTGTCTTAATTGATTCGTTCTTCATTAAGTCTGTTGAGAACTATTTTATTATTATTAAAAATATTTGCAATCGTGTTTTCCATTTCCTTGAGGTGATGTTTGAGGTAAGTAGATTAATTTCCGAGTACCTATCTGCATATGTCTCATTGTAATAGATAAATTGGAATCCTCAAGACAACCTATGGTAACGCAGTAAAACTTCTTATACAAGGTATAAATGCAAGTATTTTGACTTTGAGGCCGTTAGTAGTCTATACCAAACCTGTGTCCTGCACGGCAAACTTCACTTGTGAACCGCATGCAGCTTTTGAATAAAAACTCAAAGATAGTTTAATCGTCGCATACATAGTTATGATCACTATCCTTTTTATTTTGCATTGTATGAAAGGAAATTTTAACAATAATGTCTTTATTGTGACTTTAAACGACGTTGATATATCTATGGCGGACGAAATGTATGGTTTGCGCGCGCCTTGTGGCAGCCGGACAATTGCATCCGGCGTATTGTCTATGTCGGCGTACCCACTGATCTCTATCTTCACGCGCGATGCATACTTATGTTAATATAAAATAAAAGTCCACACGCCACGTCTGTCTGATTGAACAAGATATACACAAAAACAACCAAAAGGAATTTTATGTTTTACAAATTTATTAGCTACATGCTAATAAATGTGTTTATTTGTAGGTCATCTACATAAAGAGGGTAGAAAGAAGAAAGGTTCTTAGAAATTTTGTTAGTGAAAATTGCGAAAAGAAGAGGACACGCCATCTCGTGGGAATCCGGCAGTCGTGTCGCACATAGAGTAAAACTTTTCGTCAATACGTACTCGCTGCCGGCGTCCATACAGATAACTGTGAAATAACTCAGTTACGGATGAAGATATGTTAATAGAGCTTAGTAGAGTAGATGTCAAAATTTACAGTTTCAGACGCATTATTAAAGTCTAGTAAAGTTAGTACGTACAGTTTAAAGACCATTTTTCATCCCAAATCGGATATCGTCGGTGATTTGAATCATTGTACTTGTGGTACCGTGGCCTAGATGAAATCCAGATTGAAAAAGTTTAATGAGACGAAAAGTATCATAGGTTATTGAAAATAGTTATTTGGTTTTCAACTGAGGTGGCGTTGGTTACAGGAGACCAATCAATTTTACGAGCATCGTCTCTAAAAGAATCTTGATCTTTACCACCAAAATTGCACTGAAGAACGACTTTGGGCTTTAATTTAGAAGCCTAATTTTATAAGGAAGAAATAATTTTAAACATTGTACAAGAAAATATCGGCTTTACATTGGGCGTTTTAGAAATATGCTGAGTTGAAACTATAATCAAGTACAGAAATGACGGGGATCGAGTGTGGAAAACGATGGATGACCCCAAGTGTGTTACCCCAGAGTGTTATCCTCGCTTAATTCCAAATTATATCAATTTTACACCTTGAGTGCATACAACCATCCTTATGCTGCAAAATGGATGACATCCAAGACAAATATCAAAATTACTCACTTACAGAATTTTCAGAATAACCAGGAACAAGTCAGTTATCGAAATGCACAGCAGAAGGAAGATGTTACTTTTACATGGTCTGCCAGAGGAGCCTAATGAGGATATAGTATCTACTCTTGCCAAAACAATCTCTGAACGTCTGAAGATCACAGAGTTCTACAACAAGGACATTAATCGTTGCCATCGTATTGGAAAAACTACTTCTACCGATCGTTCTCGACCAGTTTTAGAAAAGTTTAATGATGAGGAGGAACGTAATAGAATTTGGTTTTCTAAAGCCATCTTAAAAGGTTCCGGTTTGGCTATTTCTGAGTTCTTGACACCATTATGGCTGCTCGACAAAAATATGGGTTCAACAAGTGCTTCACTAGATTAGGTTTCAACTTCTTAATTGCCGGCGATGGCAAAGGTCATCGTATATGCTCACTAACGGAGCTAGACAAGATCCCATCTGTCGGTGCTCCGAAGACGGGCGCGATCAAGGATATAGCTACATCAACCAGAAGCAAGAGAACGGGCATTAATAAGAAATTATAGTACTTGATAATATCCCCTCATTTCTATGTTACGTTTACTTATCGATAATGTCGACCGGTAGGTAAAGATCCTCACTTTGTTATAAAGTGACTTTTATGTAACCTCACTATACTTATTACACTATACTGCTCTAAGTCTCGTAATATCATAACGCCGGGATCTGTGGTCGTACAGCCACGTCTTTTTTTTTGTTCATTTTCATAAATGTTCGCTATGTTTGTTGTGTAAAGTCCACACTTACATTTTTTTTTACTTTTAATGTAAAATATGTTTTGTAATTTAACTAATCACTCAACCGGCAGGTAGAATTTGATATAAAGATAAAAGACAGTTATAAAGATTATTATTAAAAAGATTGACATTTTGTATTTATTAGTTATACATTTGGTATTACATTAATTTATTTATTCTATAATAATAGCCATCGATTCAGAAATCTGCACATTCTCCCACTTGGAGTCACACATCTTTTACCACATTCGACCCCATCTCTTGATTTACTAATAGTTTCTTCAATCAGGTTTTGTATGGAAAACGGTTTTCTAACTATACTAACACTGTTAGATTTTACTAGTGCTTTTAATACTGCCAACTTTGACATCTTACTGGCTCTGCTACGCTCTATTAACATATCTTCATCCGTAACTGAGTGGTTTCACAGTTATCTGTATGGACGCCGGCAACGAGTACGTATTGAGGAGGATTATTCCTCTTGGTGCAATATGACTGCTGGTGTTCCACAGGTGACGTTTTATCTCCTCTGCTTTTCGCGATTTTCATCAACTCTATTTCTCAGAACCTTTCTTCTTCCTACCACCTTTACGCAGACGACCTTCAAATCTACTATCAAGCTCTTCCTTCACAGCTCATCGAGGCAGTGCGCATCACTAATACTTATTGGGATCATATAGCAGAATGGAGCTAGTTCTTTGGTCTTAAAGTTAATCCGGCCAAAATTAATGCAATCGTAGTAGGTAGCTCTAGGTTGATCTGAAATTGGACTGGCATCTGTTACCTAAGATTAATTTTGATAGGTCTGACATCCCTTTTAGCGTATCAGTAAAAAATTTAGGTATAATCATTGAAAGTAGTTTGAGCTGGGGACCTCAATTGCAATGTGTCAGTCGTAAGCTGAATGCTTCTGCTGCGTCATTGAGGAGGTTGCGTAACTTTTTGCCGACTGCCACTTAAATTGCTCTAGGACAATCTTTGTTACTTCCAATACTTGATTACGCCGATATTTGTTATCTTGATTTTATGGTGGCCCAACTTAATAAACTTGAGCGGCTTTAATATTTCTGTATCCAATATTAAAACTTCTGTATCCTGTAAAAATATTAATATATTTGGATTGCAAATATGATCATATATCCCAATTTCGTACCCAGCTCAAGTGGCTTCCAATTCGTCTTCGTCGGAATGCTATAAGACGTGCTCAATCATTATTGTATGTATCATATTTTATGTATTTATAAGTATATTGTATTTGTCATCTTCTGGTGTCTATTATTACTATGCTTCAATTGTTTGTTTGGAATTATCTACTCTAAGTTTACACCCCATTTCGTTACAATTAACATTCCTCTCCATCCAAAGGTTGTCTGAAAGATATCGCTTTCAGCGATAAGACCGCCATTTGTTACACTTTGATGTATTGTTTAGTTTGATAAGTTTATAAAGATATCTGTGTTTTGTTGACAATAAAGTGTTATTATTATTATTATGTTTAGAAATAGAAACGGTATATCATCATATCAACCTATTTAATGTTTCCTCTGGTAGGCACATGTCCTTACGTAAACTGGACGCCCACGGTGCAACGCGTGACTAGCTCGACTTGATATTCCTAATAAATAATAGTGTTACCAGACGTCCCGTATTTCAAGTATAAGTTCAAATGTCCCAGCGTGACCGACTCTGTCCCGTATATCAATTCGTTTTCTTACTTAACCTTACCTTTCAATAAAAGTAGGTTACTTAAAAAACGAAAGATCCTTCCTTGGTTTGAAGCTTGTAGTTTCTGGAAACGCAACTGAGTGCACTTTGTGTCCCTCTGAGGATACACGTAAATAAATGCGTGCGTCTCTGTGTGCACATGAATTCGCCTGTTTGTTCTTATTATTTGTTGCGCTGCTATATTATTCTGTGATATAACTAGTATAAATGCTTGAGTTTGTATGAACCGCCGCGCCGCGGTCGCTTTTGCCACTGCACACGTTTGCGCCCAGTTTGCAGCCTATATCGTATTGAATAGGGAAATCGGGCCGAAACCTATCACTTGGCGTATGGCAACGAAAAAGATAAATAAATTAAGATTTATTATCAAAAATACTCATTCCTAATTGTGAGAATTCTTAATAATTTCACTTGGTTTAAAATTTACTTTAGTACCTTGAATAGAAATAATTTGAAAATACTGTCTGAACAAAATATTGTCCCGGACCTGAGGAATCACAATCTATTAGATACATTCCGTGAACTCAACTTATTAAACAACAGATTATACTTGAACAATGCCACAAACGACCTAATTCTATTTTGACAGAAGCCTCAAAAAAATTAAATGGATTACCTTAATGACTTTTTATTATACCTATAGGTAATCATAATCAAACCTACCTATCTAATAATAGTATACTATAGAAATCAAACGAACCTAACCAGCATAATTATTTTAATTTAAACATGATTTGTTTGGTACACATTAAGCAATTTTTGGTGCACAGTAAGTATTATTTGGTTTTCTTTTAGATATTTTCGGTTCTCATTTAATACTATTTTGGTGGTCGAAGTAGATAATATTTTTCAATTTAAATTTCTATCAGATTTACTAAACAAAGTAAAAGATCCACTACCGTGGTAGGTACTGTCATCATTCGCGCATTGGCCGTTACGGTGCGCTCGCGCACTGATGACGCGGCCTTTGTTCCGTCCCAGACAAAATGATAGACGTCCGCCCCAGCTCTAAGTGGGCCACCCGTTGAATGGTCAGTTGCCGACTGCAATTTCGTCAAACTAATAAATTGAGAACAGAATTGAGTGATAATCTAGTTCCCTCATTGAGAGATGATGTTGGTTTTCACAGAAATGACATCATGCAATCAGAACGAGTCGCAAAATAAGTATTTATTTGGTACCCAAACAGATAAAACGTCTAGGCATTGACACTTTATCTGTACCTCTACCTACATATTCCAGTTAACACGCCTTTTATTTTGATACAATGCGAAAAACTTTGCAATAATTAAAACTCTAGATAGCATATCACTTGTTTTTTGTTTTAATAAAACAAATTACATATTTGTTATTCAGGAATATATAGGCAACGAATTGCCTAACATTTTGTCAAACATGTCCCTTGACACTTGACGCTTTTTCAAATGTTTCCCATTAAGCTCTGTGAGATGTTTGGGACACTTTAGGAGTAACGAATATATGGGTAGGAAGAATTTAGACAGTATTGTTGTTTTGATATGTGTCGATGAAACAGTCATCAAATGCGTCAAAGCGATTTTGTAAATAAATTATCTTATATGATATCAAGTTGATGGTTAAGTATTATCTATTTATTTGTACAAATATTATAAAGAGGCACGATTTCATTTTTTTTTTTGTTTTATACATTTTTAAAATAGACTCCGCAACTACTTAATTATTTCCCAGAACAGAAACATCATTGACATAATATACTACTTTGATGATAGCGCATTTTATTAATCATAAATTCTTACATAGCTAAATAAAATACTTACCTACCTAACATTAAAATCGAATTAATGTCGCCTTTAGTAGACAGAATGATTTTACTTCACTCTTGGATCCCAATACCACTGAGGAAGTATTTTAAGAAAAAAAGAAAGCACTAAAAAGCACCTCACTAGATGGCGACTTTACCAAAAGGTGATTTTTGCAGGAAACGAATGGACCAAAGATAGTCAATTCCGTTTCTTTTAACTAACATATTAAAAAACTAAAATTTACAGAGTTCGAAACTTAGATATCAATACAATTACGAAAGAGTACAAATAGAATATACTAATATTCTATATTTATTGAGTTTTGAAAATATATTACTTGTATACATGAAAGAAAACCGGAAGGGTTGTCATGGAGAAATCAAGACAGTACCGTAGCGACATCTTGTTTGTTTTTTTTTAATACTTTCTCTTTAAGAACATAAGCTTTTTAAGTGACCTGAAATACTACTTCGTGAATATCAGGATATTAACATTTTTGTGTTGACATTCACAGTCATGTGCATATTGCCATATTGCTGAAAGCTGGTCTTCGAGTTTTGAAAAATTCAAGGTGAACTTCAGAAATCCTAGAGCTCTCACAATCATCCGCTGATAGGATGACACTGTGCCATTTATTTTAAGCATGTTCTGTCGCTTTTCATCGGATAAGTGGCCAACTCCGACGCAACGGAGCGATATAAGACGGATTTAGTTTCGCTTCCCGTCTTAATAATAATTTCAAACTTGGAAGTTGCTTGAACTGCTTTATTGAGATTATAAAATTACCTACCAATATTATTATACCGATTACTTACCCAAATTAAAAAATACAGATTAGGTATATTAAGTGGTTTCATTGTCAGTAAGGCGAAAAATAACGGTGTTTCAACTAAGCTAACCTTAATATAATACTTATTTATTTATTATGAAATTATCTTATCATCGATCGATCAACGTTGACATGATACACAGCAAATAGGTAGGTACACAGTATAAAAATGGACACCTAATTTTATCACCGAAATTAGCTAAACATCATAGACAGGTAGGGCATTTTATATTGAATATTGAAAAGAAATTACCTTATATATTATATTAAAAG